TTGTGCATTAGCATGCCCCTCTCTCATATGCTGCTGCAGGATATAATTTTCCATTAACTCATCAAACAGTTCCTGGAGGGCTAGCATGGGGCAAGGACCATGCCGTCAGATCAATGACCCTGTGGGGCCAACTCCAGCTTCTACCTTAGTGAGTATGGCAGGACACACCAGTGAGTGCATAGCCACCTTCTAAAGAGTCATTTATTTATTTGGTACAGGGTCTTGCTCTGCAGCTCAGACTCACAGTGATCCTCCTGTCTCAGCCTCCCCAGGTCTGGGATTACAGGCATGTGTCACCAGGCCTGGTTTCAGTGGCTGGCACAGCTCGGGGGCCAGCTCAGCATGTTGTACCGGGAATCAAAACTGGGTCCTTGCACTTGCCAGGCAGGCACTCAGACTGCCGAGCTATCTCCCCAGCCCATAACCACCTTTTAAACCCTGGCTGTCCTTATTTAGCCACTCATTACCGCAGGCCCCTGTCCCTCAAGCATCCCTGCCTGGCCAAGCGCAAGAAGCCAAGTTCGATCCCCAGTACCGCATGCCACACTGCCCCAGAACGCTGGGTATGCCATGCCAGCTCCCCAGCACTGGGGTGGCTGAAACAGGAGGATCACTAGGAATCTGATCTGTGTAGTGAGACCCTGTATCAATAAATAAATTACAAATAAAAAATAAAGTTTTAAGGCAATAAATCGGAGTTGTCATTAAGGTTTTGGTAATCAGTTGCAACAGCTCAAGGAAGGCACAGGAATTCTGAAGTTGTCAGCCCTGTATGTTTAGAAAGAAAGAAGTAAGAAGAAGTGGTATAAAATAGAAAAGAATATTTAGTTCATAGGCCCTGAACATAAATAAAAATTTTAAGAAAAAAAGTACATATTTCAATTTTAGAGCTGAAAACCAAGATAATGACATATTTTCATTGTGATAAGGAGCATGTAGTAGAGGAAAAAGTAACGAGTAGGTTCAATAAATTTGTTCATCGAACAAACGCATACTGTTAACCACGCTGTGTATCGCTTTAAAGCCTTTCCATCAGATCTCTCCCATAGTTCTTCTCCGTGAATAAGTTGAAATAGAATTTTCTACAGTTTCCTGCAGCTTCAAAGCAAACCCGAAGTGAAGCAACATGGGTAACTCACTCAGCGATCCTCTGGAAGGTTCCATCGCCCGTCCTGCTGAGGAGCACACATGCTATCTGGGTTGCTACCACTAGATGGCGAAGTTAGCCCGTGAAGGGCAAATGGGCTCAGGCCTTTAAACTGCTTCGTTTCTCGCAGGTGTAAAAGAGAACGTATATTAAACCAAGAGACCCTGAGGACAGGGTCTGCTTATAGCGTACTACGTGGTACCCACACAGGACATCTCTCACGCTTAGAAAGCCTACCTAGGTGCTCCAGAGCCCACCCTGTCGAGCCGAGCACTGATAACAGTACTGTCTACAGCCAGACAATTTTTGGCAGGTGGTTCTCTTAAACACGATTGAGCGCCAGCACCCTCGCGGGGACCTACAGCACCGCTGAACGGTCTGCCAGGCTCGCTGCAGTTCATCTCAACGCCGAGGGAAATCTCGACTCTGCCAAGTATTTCACAGATGTTTATCGAATACTTTCTAATTATGACTAAAGGACAAGCTCCCCCGGTTGTGTGCGGAGGATAAATGGCAAGACAGTTCATTGACGGTGTGCCAGCTTCTGCTCAAAATATCATACCGCAGCACTATTTGCAAGCTCAGTTTCAGGAATGAAGACGGAATAAAGTCTGCTTTAAAAGATTGGCAGCCCTGAAGGGAAAGAAAGACGGTCAAGTTACACAGATAATTATTTTACAGGAACCCATAACTTCTGCTTCTCATCACAATAAAAAAAAAATAGCCTCTCTTTGTTCTGTGAGCTATTTTTCCAGGACTCGTACATCTCAATTTATGCAATAGATGTGCTGTGTGTAAATAAAATTTGGAGTAAATGCCACTAGACTTTCACCATGGGAACTCTGCTAGCTCTTTCATTTGTTGATTTATGAAGTGCGTGTTCTATGGCTCCTGACATATCTCCATATATTTTTAAATAGAAGTCTGAAAAGAGAGAGTGTCTACCAGTGTACTAGGGTTGCCAACTTTCAGGCTCTACTACAACTTACGGTCCCAGGGCTTTTGCCTAATCACTCATTGACTTTACCTGAATGAAGCTTTTAAATTTTTTTAACTTTTAATTATAAAATAATGAGTTGAGTACTAACAATTTGATCCAGCTCGTTCCCAACCTCCCATCTCAGATTTCTCATCTTCGAAGTTAATTCGGCGCTAAGGTGAGGCAGCTTCATCCTCCCAAATCCTGAGTCTGATCCTGCTGCTCAAATGCAATACACACGTGGATACTTCAGGCCTCGGGTGCAGAAAGATAAATGATTTACTCAGGCAGGGAGATGAGCCCGCACTAGCAAGCAGTTATTTTAGCATTTAAAAAGCAAATTGCATGTAGCAATCATATACTAAACAATCTCAAATTTAAAAAAGTGAAAAAGATATTTAAAAGCATACAGGTTTCCCACCTATCTGGAAGAAAAGAAGGGAGTGTCTATGTTTACCCCTTCTCTCCCTAAAGAAACTTCTGTAACATTTTATAATAAAAATAAAAGCAAAAAAAAAAAAAAAATAAAAGTCACTGTGATACTTGGTCATCACGTTCAAACTGAGATGTGTGATTTGGCTTAAGTTTTACCATTGTTTCTTCTAAATTATAAACCTGATGCCAAGCATAATTCCCCCAGCAGCAAAAGGATTTAACAAGACAGATGTACTTGGAATAAGGTGAAACTTGATTTCACAAATGAGAAAGGTTCATGGGGTGGGCGTAGAAACCACAGGCCGCTTCTTTTTGAACCAGCCGTGGTCAGCGAAACCAGGGGGTGCGCTGGCACAACTTTTCCAGCTCAAGCCTACGAAAAGCCCAGAGCAAACCCTAACCCCGTGTGCCCGTCGCTCAGCTCCAGCAGCTAGCAATTCTTTGCCAGTTTTCATGGGTCCCTCTCCTTTCAGCTTTTCTTGTCTTTGCTGGGGTATTTGGAAGCAAGACTGATTTCAGAGGCGGGGGGCGCTCTAGCTTTCACAGTGACTCTGCCAAGGAGGCTTTTAAAGAGCAGACTTTCCAGGAATGGGTTTTGCACCCTTTTCAAAGGCATCTGTTAATAATCCTAAAAATGAAGCGGGTCCCCTCTGGCGCCGCTGAAGTACCCGAATGGTGCGTCTAGCCCAGTGCAAACGTCCTTGCTGTTCGCCCAAAGCTCCGAGGGCGGACGCACGGCCGCCTGCGCGGGGCAGCTCCTCGCTCCGGGGCCCCTCCAGGGACCGCCGCAGGGGGGTCCTGCCTCTCGGGGCTGGGCAGGCTCTAGGGTCGGCCCTGCCCCGGCTTCCGTCCTTACCCGTAAGGCGTCTTCGGCCGTCCAGGGCGCTACCCGGTGGACGCGAGCGCTCCGGGCGGGCAAGGGGACCGGCGTCTTCGCCCGGGCGCTCAGCGACTGCGGCGGAGCCTAGCGGCGGGGAAGTAGAGAGGAAGGGGAGCGGCGATGACGCAGGGAGCGGGGTGGAGGGGGGCGACAGCAAGGAGGGGATAG